CCCAGATTGATGAGATGCCTGAGGCCGCAGTGAAATCAACCGCCAACAAATACCAAGTCTTTTTTTTCGGGACCCACGAGACGTGAGTGAGGGGTCAGCTGGGTGTGGGGGGAGATACCACGGGGGGGGGCACTCTGGGGAGAGAGAGAGGTGGCGACAGTGCCCCCTCTGCACCGGGCTGTTGCAGCTCAGGGGCAGCGAGGGGCTCGAGAGCACAGTCTCCCATCTCTTACCAGGGCATTCCTGGGCCCCAAAGACCTCTTCCCTTACGAGGAGTCCAAGGAGAAGTTTGGCAAGCCCAACAAGAGGAAAGGGTTCAGCGAGGGGCTGTGGGAGATCGAGAACAACCCTACTGTCAAGGCTTCTGGCTACCAGGTGAGCTGCTATCTGCCCCAAGACCCTGGAAAGAGGCGTGGCCTCGGGCTCCGGGAGCCAGCCACAGTGGTGCTTGGAACACCAGGACTCGGTGTGGGAGCTCATGGGGTGGCGGGTGGGGCTTCCTGAGGGGTCCGGGTCTTGGGGTGTCGTAGTGGTGATCAGGATCACTGTCTGACAGCGACCTAGTGGGGGGTGGGTGTGTCAAGAACAGGAGGAAGCGGTAAGTGGGGACAGGCCTTTGGTTGGGCCCAGCGTGAGGACAGGACATGGCCTTACTCTTTCCACGAAGGCTTCCAGGAGGAGGTGCTCGTGAGCCGGGCAGGACAAGGCGGGAGGGCGGGGGGCGGGGGTTGGCGGGGAAAGGGTCCCAGCTCCCTATGGGAGAAGTTGACCCGAGGTTTTGCCTCCTGCTCCAGCCCTCCCCCCTCCTGCACAGAGCCCTGCCTGCCCGGCCAGTGGGTTTACCCCGGGGCTAATCCGACAGAGGTGGGTCTCAAATCACTTGTGAGACTGGGCACCTGGGTGGGGGCGGGGGTGAGGTGGGAGAAGGAAGGAGTGAGTGGCTGAGGGGGTGGCCTGGGGAAGGGGCCCGGCCTGGCCGCCGCTGGTGCCACTCAGCAGCCTCCGCTGTCTCTGCCGCAGTCCTCCCAGAAAAAGAGCTGCTCCGAGGAGCCGGAGCCCGAACCCGAGGCCGCAGAGGGCGATGGCGACAAGAAGGGGAACGCGGAGGGCAGCAGTGACGAGGAGGGCAAGCTGGTCATCGACGAGCCGACCAAGGAGAAGAACGAGAAGGGGGCGCTGAAGAGGAGAGCAGGGGACCTGCTGGAGGTAACTGGGCCCCAGGATCCCTGGAGCATGCTCAGGGGGCACCCCCCCCGCAGCATCAGGACCCTGCCTCAGGAGTCCCCAGGCTGAGAGGGACATCCAGCCCCTAGCTGAGAAGACGGGACTGTGGGTGGCAGCCCAGGAAGGAGCCCCTGAGGAGGAGAGGAGGGGACACAGGTGCGTAGCTGGTGGCTTCTCTCCAGCGTCAGCCCTCCTCTCTGCCCATCCTGCCTAGGACTCCCCTAAACGTCCCAAGGAGGCCGAAGAACCCGAAGGGGAGGAAAAGGAGGCAGCTGCCTTGGAGACGGAGAGGCCCCTCCCTGGGGAGGTGGAGAAGAATAGCACCCCCTCTGAGCCCGGCTCTGGCCGGGGCCCTCCAGAGGAAGAGGAGGAGGAGGAGGAGGAGGAGGAAGAGGAGGAGGAGGAAACTGCCAAGGTAGATGCAGAGGCCCCGGGTGCCAGAGATCATGAGAGGTGAGTGAGCCCTTTGGCCCCTGGACTGGGAGGGCCCGGCCACCTGCAGAGAAGGAGAAGGGCCTGCAGTGGTCAGCCTCCCACCCGGGAGGCAGGCGGGCTGGGTTCTCCCAGGAGACCCGCACTGGCTGGGGCGAGGCCAGGCAGAGGCCACACCATTAACCCTTCTCCCCTCCAACCCTCCCCCGCAGCCTGTAGCCACCAATGTTTCAAGAGGAGCCCCTGCCCCGTTCCTGCTGCTGTCTGGGTGCTACTGGGGAAACTGGCCATGGCCTGCAAACTGGGAACCCTTTCCCACCCAACCCATTCTCCTTCTCCATTCACTGTCCCCACTTTAAGTCCAGCCCCCAGAGATTGACCTGGCCCTCACCTCCAGGTACCCCCACGATCTTGAAGCAGGGCCTTGTCTTCTGCTCCCTAGGATGAAATGAGGCCATTGTGTCCCTTCCTGCTTGGAGCTGTTTCCCAGAGCTTCTACTGGGGCCTGGGCCCCTGTTTCCACCTGACACTCCTGTCCTGTCCCCTAGGCATTTTGGACCTCTGGGTTAAGATCAGAGGTGGGAGTGGAAGAGGAGGAGTGTGAACAGCGAGGTGGGCCCCCCCACCCGGGCCTGGAAGGGGCAATCCCATGAAGGTGGACATCTCTTGAGCTCCTGTCCCCTGCTCCCACACCCATTTTCCCAGCTGCCTGGATTGAGGGAAAGTGGGACATCTTGTAGGGGAGAGGTCCCAGAAATTCTTGATAATTGACAACACCCATTCTTTTTGCTGACCCCAGGAGTTCTGGGGGTTGTAGCTGATTGTCAGAAGACTTTGGGGCTTCCAGGTTGTTTGGGCCAAGAACATGGGCTCTGAAGGGCTGACTTCGCCCATTTAGGTGGGAGTATTGAGTGTCTGTTCCCCTTTAGATCTCAGGGGTCAGAGATGGGATGCCCTGGGAAGACCCCTTGCTGCCCTGTTCCCTCTCCCCACAATGCTCAAGGCCAGCCTTCAGTCACATATGTCACCCAGACATAAAGGAAAAAGACACATTTTTTAGGAGATGTTTTTAATAAAAGAAAATTACAAAAAAAAAAATTAATCCCCCCAACCCTCTGTGTGCTCCCCCTTCTGGCCCTTTCTTCCCCACCGCTGCCCCCATTTCTGAGGTGCACGGGTGGATCCCCTTCTGTCTGGGGCTTGACGACTTTCTTTTTGTTGCTGGGGCTTCGGTGTTTCTTCTGGTGTCCTCTCCCATCCACACACCCCGACTTGGTCCCCTCAGTGTTGCCACCAGATCCGACTTGTAACCCACTGAGAGGACAGGGGAGTGGTCTCTGCCTCTCTGTCTCTTCTCTCTGCCCCCTCCCTTGGGCTCTCATGAAAAATTGCTGACGGTAGCTTTGGAAGTTTAGCTCTGAAAACCGTAGATGATTTCAGTTTTAGGAAAATAAAACCTGTTGATTACTACATTGGAATACGGACTGATTTCTTTGGGGGGTGTATTGGTTAACTGAAGAAGGGGAGTGGGGAAGGGAATGCACTGATTTTCACAGCACATTCAGGGGGTGTCAGCCTCCTCCATTACCCAGCCATTAGGAACCCAGAATTCTAAAAGATGGGTGTGGAGCACACCGTAATCCCAGCGACTTGGGAAGCCAGAGTCAGGAGGATGCCAAATTCGAGGCCATCCTCAACAATTTAGTGAGACCATGTCTCAAAAAAATAAAAGAAGGGGCTGGGGCTGGGGCTCAGTGGTAGCGCACTTGCCTGGCATGTGTGAAGCACTGGATTTGATTCTCAGCACCACATGTAAATAAAGATCTATCAACAAGTAAAAAGATTTAAAAAGTTCATTTAAAAAGGGGGGGGCTAGGGGTGTAGTTCAGTGGTACAGCACCCCACAGTTCAATCTCCAGTACCCCAAAAAAATGTTTTTTCAGTGTTGCACCTGAAGACAGTCCTATAATAAAACATAGTATATTATATTAAAAACACAATAAGGCAGCAGTATCAGCCATAGCCAATATGGTCATGGAAGTGGACGCTTTGAGCTGGTTGTAGAAATAACTTTGACCCCAAGGGCAGGGCGAAGATAACTTCTCCCTCTGCTAGTGCTAGGGTTACTGGTATTGGGCTACTTGCCACATGACCGACCAGTTGAAAAACAAGGGGTTAAGGCAAGGAATGCAAGTATTTGAGAAGCCATCTGGCCAAGAAAATGGAAGACTCTTGTGCAAAGTCCATCTGGCTGGGAGGCTGGTTTGGGGCAGTTTACAGAGGAGATGGGTGATGGGACTGGTGGGTGCCTTCCCTTAGGGGAAGGCTTGTGGCCAAATGACTCACATTTGATCCTAATCAGCTAGTCAGGAGATGCTTGCTCAGTTCTGCACATCCAAGAACAAAGATCACTCTCCTTGGGCTATTGTCACTGACTAGTTTGTCCACTGCAAGTTCCTAACACGAGGGACAAGTTAGAATGGACAGCTGCCGGAGCCCTGTTGCTGATCACCAATTCCAAAGAAAGAAAACATTTCACCTGACAAGGGTCAAGTCCAGTTAAACATCTGGTCTGGATTCTTAGGGATGCCTGCTACCCTTAACTGGTCATACGAGGATAGGAGAGAAGATTGACAGCTGGACTCCTCCCAGTACTTCCCAAATTATGTGGACTCTCTTGAGTTTCCTACCCTATCTGACATTTTGTGTCCAGGTCACGTACTAGCAGTGGAAGGGCTCCTGTCTCATTCCTTCCTCCAAAAAATCTGACACTTTTTGGATCTGCCCTAACCCGCTTCAGCAGAGAAGGGTGTGGACAGAAATGACTGGTTTCCCTTGCGCGGGGGGGAAATGAAGTTATCCTTTGAACAGGAAGCCACAACCAGGTAGAAAATGGAGCCATCCTCTGGAGAAACTACAATTCCCAGCGGCTCCACACGGAGCACGCGCAGGCGCGTCCCCTCCCTCGCCGCCTTCAACTCCCGGCATGCTCCCCGGCGCTCTGACGCTCTCTGAGCTGCCCAGCCCGGGCGAGCTTCCGGTTTCCGCCTTACTTGGCCACGACGGACTACAGCTCCCAGCCTGTGCGGAGCCGAGATGCCTTATTGGGCTTCCGTTCTGCACTGGGACTCCATTTCCCAAAAGCCCGAGAGGCGGGGACGAGCGGGGCTGAGCACCCATGTGCAGAGGTGACCCGCGGAGGCTCAGCAGTGCAATGCAAAGGGAAGTGACCGCCGTTTAGCCCAGAGGGTTGCAATACCTGGGCTCATCCGGAGGCAGGTGCGGGAAGGGCTTTCCTTTTTCCTGGCTGTGGCATAGTCCCGCTCCCGCGAGGTTTCTTGCCACTGAAAGCTCGGAGCGGGCGGGTGCTGAAGAGGGCTGGGGCCCGATGATTTCTAGGGTCCAGGTCCGCACCGTGGATGAGGCTGGGGGGCGGGGGAGCCGTGACCTGAGAGGCGACCAAATGGTCAGCCCCACGACCGTGCACTGGACATCCAGAGCACGCAGTGGACGCTCCGCTGCGGAAGGTGCACCAGGCTCTCCAGACTGTGGAAGGAACCGAAGGGAAAGTTCTAAGGGGCGTGCTAGCCGCTCTGGGCTGGCTCCTGGCATCTCCCGGAGTCGCAGAACTAGAATGACTGACTGGGCTTCATCCATAAGTTGCACGTTTCCAGTTCTGTGAATATTTCAACAAAGTTGACACAGGTGTATGAAAGTAGGTAGGAAATTACAGTCTAGAGCTTATATGATATTGTGCTAATATAATCATTGCATAGTTATATTCTTCCTGATGTTATTACATATTATATGATTATATAGTATGGCACATTTAAGGGTTTTTTTCTTTTTTCTTTTTTTTTGGGGGGGGGGCGGGTACTGGGGATTGAAGTCAGGGGCACTCCACCACTGAGCCGCATCCCCAGCCCTATTTTGTATTTTATTTAGAGACAGGGTCTCACTGAGTTGCTCAGTGCCTCTCCCTTGCTGAGGCTGGCTTTGAATCTCAGTGTGCCACCAAGCCCGACCACACTTTATTGTTTATTCTCTTTCCACGACTGGAATATGGAACAGAATGAGTTAAGGAACTCGGTGCAGCCCTCCATGCAAGTGACTTGGGTCTTATGATTGGCCCTGCTCCCGTTAAGCTGCATGAACTAGGGCAAGCCGTTCCGGCTCTCAGGTCCTCGGTTTCCTAGTCTGTAGAAGGGACCTATCAAACTTGAACCTACAGTCTTTCTCTGGGCAATGTGAAGACCAAGTATGAGGAATATTGAAATTCCCAGCATTAAGCTTGTCACACAGTAGTGGTGTATCACCATTTATTGACTCTGAATAGGAATACTTGGGCCCTTACATTCAACCACTATTAATTTATAATAGTATTGGGACCTTTTCAAAGATTTTCTTACTGAGATGTACCTTTTTATTTTTCTGCAGTCCTGGGGATTGAACCCAGGGCCCCACATATGCTAAGGCAAGCACTCTACCACTGAGCTACGTCCCCAGCCCTCATACTGAGATATATAAAGAAAAAAATTTTTTTTTCCACTATTAATTTAAGCCAGTTGAATTTTTAGAAAATGCAAATGTTATGGAAAGGAACAAAATGGAAATTGACAGCCCTCTTATATAGTTCTTCCGCACAACCAGGACTTTATTTTTTTATTTTTAAATAATATTTATTTATTTATTTTTTAGTTTTTGACAGACACAACATCTTTCTTTGTATGTGGTGCTGAGGATTGAACCCCGGCCGCACGCATGCCAGGCGAGCGCGCTACCGCTTGAGCCACATCCCTAGCTCCCACAACCAGGACTTTAGTTTATTTCCTTTCCACAAATATTAATGCCCACACCAGAATATATATTACATAACATGTATACGTATATGCATGATATATATGATTAATTTACCCCAAAAGGATAATACTAGTCACATGATCCTACACCTTGCTTTGTTAAAATATTAAAAATAACATAAATGACACGAAGAGCCCTGAAAAGTTTTACGGATGGTGAAACTGACACTCAGAAGGTAAGTTGTCTAGGGTCACACAGCAAAAGAACAGAGCACAGTGTAGAACCTAGATGACAGTAAGGAGTCAAGTGGTCTGACTCCATCGTCCAGGGTTCTTCATGCCATTAGAATGCATTTTATTAGTATTTGGAAGGTAGGGTCTTCCTTCTCCACAAAAGAAGATTAACAGACCTTCTTTATCACTTGTCCTTGAATTTAAATGATAGGATTCAGCGAAGCACCTAGCATGGTACCTAGTGTTCAGTAAACTAAAGATAGCTTTAAATTATTTGTTTATGCAGTATGGGGATTGAACCTAGGGTCTTGTGTTAAGCTAAGCAAGCACTCTACCACTGAGTTCCATCCCCAGTCCTTTTTTATTTTTTTATTTTTTATTTTTTTGTTATAGGTGTTAGGGATTGAACTCAAGGGATGCTTTACCACTGAGCCACAAGCTCAGCTCTTTTTACTTTTTTTTTATTTTGAGACAGGTTTTGCTAAGTTGCTTAGAGCTTACTAAATTGCTGAGTCTGTCCTTGAACTTGGGATCCTCTACCCTCCGTTCCTGGAGTTACTGGGATTATAGCACATACAGCCATGCCTGGCTAGCTGCTATTATTTTTGCCATTTCTTTTATTAGCTCATTAATTTAGTTCACTGCACAAACTTGGGAGGCTTGTAACACATACTTAATTGAGAAATTTGGGACCTAAAAACCTAAGGGTTAGACCCCACTAGTTTGCAGGGTACATCAGAGCCTATAGTAGGAACCGCGCTGTTGGTCCTTTCCCTTAGAAAAGAAGCCAGTCTTGGGGAGGAGTAGTTATTTCCTGTCTGAGAATAGACCTGGGAAGTGAGATAGGGACATTTTAGCTCCTGTTTTTTTCTGCTACCTCTTTGTTCATTGCCTTGTAACTGCCGGCCTTTGGACCCTATGCCAGTAATTTGTTCCATTACTTATTTTCTTCCTATCCTGTGTTTTATATATTTGACTAATAATTCCCTTGTGTACCTACTATGTGCCAAGCTCTACTTGGATCTGCTGGATTTTGAAGTGAGCTAGATACAAGGGTCTTTGGCCTCAGTTAATTTTTTTTTTTTTTAATTCAAAGTCAGATGTGGGTTTGAATAATGATTTCCCACACTTTACCTTTGTGGCCACTGGCAAGTTATTTAATCTCTCTGTCCTTATTTGAAAAGTGAAGATCATAGTATCAGCTTGTGAGAATTCAATGAGATGGGATCCACTGAGCAGTTGAGTTAGTGCTTTAAAAATGTCCCTTTGTTTCTTTGTCCTCTTTTATCTCTATCCAGAGCTAACGAGCAAAGTTTCTGAGTCTTCACTGGCGAAGAGAATTCTCAAAGCTCCTAGCTATGCGTCTCTCTGTATTGCTGGCCTTGGCATCCAAGGTCACTCTGCCCCCTCACTACCGCTATGGGATGAGCCGCCCAGGTTCCCTGGCAGACAAGAGGAAGAATCCCCCAGGGACCAGGCGGCGCCCCGTGGTTGTGGAACCCATCTCTGATGAAGACTGGCATCTGTTCTGTGGGGACATGGTGAGAGCCTCAGGCTAACAGAGTGATGGGGAGTCCTGGGCAAGGGTCCCCCTTCCTGAGCCTCTGTCTTCCCACAGGTGCAGATCCTGGAAGGCAAGGATGCAGGGAAGCAGGGCAAGGTGGTTCAAGTCATCCGGCAGCGGAATTGGGTAGTCCTGGAGGGGCTGAACACGGTGAGTAAAGAGGAGGGGGACGCTCAGGTCTGTCCCTCTGCATTAAGAGCAGCCCCGGGTGAGAGTGGCGGAGGGAATGGTTGTGAAACTGGACCTTTTACTTTTTAGTTGGGGCCAAATGTGCTGAGCTGCTGTGGGCGAGCCCCCGCCCCCTTGCTTCCTGACACAGCCTCCTCTCTCTTGAACAGCATTTCCGCTACATTGGCAGGACAAAGGATTCTCCGGGAACCATGATCCCTAGTGAAGCCCCTTTGCTCCACTCCCAGGTCAAACTTGTGGATCCTGTGGACAGGCAAGCACGTGGGCTCCGTTAGAGGACTCCTCACCCTCAAGTCCATGAAGGTGTTGACCACAGCCAGGGATGGGCAGCCCATTTATCCAGCGGGAATGGTCGGTTAGGTGCTCTAGATGTTGAGGGGTCCATCACCTAGCCATAATTCCTGCGGGTAGTCCCAGGAGAAGTAGAGACACAGGGTGGCAGTCTGTGTTTCTAGCATTGACTTCACGTTTGGGTTGGGGTGTGGCTGGGAGCCTGGCTCCTAGGTCGTGCTCATTTTTTTTCCACCAGGAAACCCACCGAGATTGAGTGGAGATTTACGGAGGCAGGAGAGCGAGTACGAGTCTCCACAAGATCAGGAAGAATTATCCCCAAACCTGAATTTCCCAGAGCTGACGGCATTGTCCCTGAAACATGGACTGGTGAGGCTGCATGGGGGTCAGGGAGAGGATGGGGACAGCGGGAATGAGAGGAAAGGATGTTGGCAACCCTCCCACGTCCCGTCTCCTTTCCTCTGACTCAACAGATGGTCCCAAAGACACATCAGTGGAAGATGCTATGGAAAGAACTTACGTGCCTCGTCTGAAGACACTGGAGGAAGAGGTGATGGAGGCAATGGGGATCCAGGAGACCCGGAAACACAAGAAAGTCTATTGGTATTGAGTCTGGGGAAGACAGCTTCTCCGGCTTTTTATCTTAGCCTTGAAGGCCAAAGCACTATTTTCAGACACCAATAAAGTGCCGCCGTTAGTCTTCCTGTGTGCAGCTGCTGTCTGTGCTGGAGTGGCACCCAGCCCATAAGCCATATCCAGGGCCTGCAGGAGGGAGCCTTTGTCTTCCTGTTGGCATGGAACCAGGGTGAAAGGTAGCCAGCCTGAAGGAAGCCCTCCCAGGACAGGGCTGCATACTCAGGAGTGGTAACCAAGGGAAGAGAAAGGTTTCCTCAAAGGAGACCTCCGAGCAGCAGAAGCTGCTACCCAGGCCTCTTGCTAAGGAGGGCACATGTCTGTTCTGTTCTTTATAAAAATAGAAGAGCTGAGCACCGTGGCGCACACCTGTAATTCTAGTGACTTTGGAGGTTGCAGCAGGATGGTGGCAATTTTTAGGTCAGCTTGAGCAATTCAGTGAGATCCTGTCTCAAAAAGAAGGGCTGGGAATGTAGCTCAGTGGCAAAGTGCCCCTGGTTCAATCCCCAGTATCACCCCCCCCACCCCCATCCAAAAAAAAAGGAATGAAAGTCAAGTCATTGTGTTTAAATGTTTTTCTTTATTGATTTGTTTCAATGCCAGGTATCATTCCCAGGGCTTCCCACATGCTAGGCAAGTGCTCTGCCACTGAGCCACACCCCCAGCCCAGTTTTTAATAAATTAACAATAAAACTTCACACAATATTACATAACGTCGACAGAGAGAGAGAGAGTATGAAACAGAGTTGGTAGACAGCTGGGATCCCAGGGAGGATGCAGGCTGCTGTGCACCCATGGGGTTTCAGAAGGGTCTGCCTTGGGGTATTCAGCTGTCTTCAGTCTCCAGGGCAGAGAAGGCCTGGCCCAGGGGCATCTTGGTGGCCACCAGAACCAGGTTTCTAGGAGACAGCTCTGGGCTGAAAATGGGCAGGAGCTCAGCATGGAAGCCTAGAAGAAAGGGCTAATCAGAAGTGTCTTGAGACATCCACCCCCTTTTCCCAAGGGGACAAGAGAGACCCTGTTCTCAATGATGGAGTGCTTGCTTAAAATCTGTTCCAGGAAGGCACCACCAGAGGCTCACTTGGTAGGATTTTTTTTTTTAAATCGTTTGTGTGTGTGTGTGTGAGAGAGAGAGAACCCAGGCCTTGTGCATGCATGGTAAGCACTCTATCAATTGAGGGGTATCCCAGGCCGGAATGTGCATTCTTTAACAAACCCCATACCCCAGCCCACCAGCGATGACCCAGGCCCAACAGATGTGGGGCCTGGGACTTGAAGGACCAACCCCAGAACTCCAGCTCCTCACCCTGCTCCTGAAGGTAGAGCAGCCGGTCCAGCAGAATCAGCGTCTCTACCAGCGGGGCCAGAAGAAGTGCCAGGCTGAAGAAAGCCACCACACGGTTCTCCTGGGCCTGGTGGGCCCGGAGGGTCGCCAGGTTCAACGGCAGATGGGGATCCAATCCCACTCGCTGTAGCCCACGACGCACGTATCTGTGGAATCGGCCCCAAACAGCACTCAGTTTGGTTTTAGAAACCTCTACCTCCCACTTGAACTTTGCTATCCTAACATGCATTTTAAAATTTTATTATTATTTTGGCAGTACTGGGGAAGACTGAATCCAGGGGTACTTTACCTCTGAACTACATCCCTAGTGCTTTTTATTTTTGAGACATGGTCATGCTAACTTGCCCAAGCAGGCCTTGAACATGCAATCCTCCCGTCTCAGCCTCTTAAGTGTGAGTACCATATCCAGCCTCATTTATTTTACTTTTAAGAGGTGAGGTCTTGGGCTAGGGACATAGCTCAGTTGGTAGAGTGCTTGCCTCGAAAGTTCAAGGCCTGACTTCAATCCCCAACACCACAATAAACAAATAGAGGTGAGGTCTTGCTATATTGCTCAGGCTGGCTCCAAACTCAGGGACTGAAGAGATCCTCCTGTCTTGCCTCTTAAGTGGCTGGAACTAGAGGCATTCACCATAGTGCCTGACCCAATACGCTGGGTGTTTTTTGTTTTTCTTTCTTTCTTTCTCTTTGTATGGTACTAGGGATTGAACCCAGGGTCTCATGCATACTAGGCAGGTGCTCTACCACTGAGCTACATCCCAGCCTTAACATACATTTTAAATGTTTCTCTCGCTGTGAATTCTGCCAATATCAACTGATACAAAAACTTATTTTCAGCCAGTTTTGTCCAAATTAGCCATATTTTAAGCATTTAAAAAACTATAAAAGCTGGGCCCAGCTGTGCACACCTGTAATTCAGGCATTCAGAAGGCTGAGGTAGAAGGATGACAAGTTCAAAACCAGCCTTGACAACTTAGTGAGATGCTGTCCTGAAATTTAAAAAAATAAAAGTGCTGCTCAGTGGTAAAACACTCCTGGGTTCTATTTCCAGTACCAAAAAAAAAGGAAAATACAACTTTCCATTTGGCTGGCGTCTAGCTTGGTGGTGGAGTTTGCCTAGTAAAGCCCTAGGTTCAATTCCCAGTGCTGCAAAAAACAAATTTTATGAACCATACATGGTGGCACACACCTATAATCCCAGCACCTTGGAGGCTGAGGCAGGAGGATCTCAAGTTCAAAACAAGCCTCAGCAACTTTGTGAGGCCCTGTCTCTAAATAAAAAATAAGGGCTGGCTCAGTGGTTGAACACTCGTGGGTTCAATCCCTAGTAACAAACAAACAAACAAATAAATAAACATAATTTTTTTCCCTTTCTTTTGGGTGGTAATGGGGATTGAACCCAGGGGTGCTCTACCACTACACCAGATAGCCCTCCCCTTTGACTTTTCATTTTAAGACAGTTTGCTAAAATTACCCAGGTTAGTCTTGAATTTGTGATCCTCCTGCCTGACCCTCCTGAGTAGCTGGGATTATTACAGGAGTGTGCCACTGCTCCCAGCAAATGAACATCTTCTTTCAAAGAAATTTGAAGAAGTCGCCCCAGTCAGAAAACTGAACATCACCTCTCTGGGCAAGAGCTTCTCTTTGGATGTGCTAACAAGTGGGGTCTCGAGGTAGTGATCCCCCACCCCCCACCGCAACCTCACTCTTCGATCTTGAGCTCGTGGACCCTGGGGATCCCCTGCACCCCAGGCCGACGGAGCTCAGGCCGGGCACGTCGGATGACCATCTCCAGTGCTGCTCGGTAGCAGTGGGTTCGGAGGCCAGGGCCAGCTTTCTGTAGCCGCTCGGCATACTCCTCCAGGGCATGGCAGGCCCCCTCCCGGAGCCTGTAGGGCAGTTCAGAGCCAGGCAGCCCAGCCACCCACTGACTCAGCGGGTAGCCTCCAGGGTCACTAAGCTTCATGTAGCAGCAGCCCACGGAGGCCAGGGCCACCACCTCTGGGCAACAGCAGAAGTGCCTCAGCAAGGCCACACTCAGATCCCCGCAGGCGTGGAGGCCCGTCAGCAGCAGGCGGGCACTGCCACACTGTGAGCTGTCCAGTGGAAGCAGAAGTTCCCCACACAGGGCTGTGGGGTCCACCCACTGGACCACGTGGTAAGGGGAGTGGCGAGGGCCTGTTTGGGCCACCTGTGGAGGCAAGACAAGACAAAGACAGGTGGAAAGTTCTTGTTCCCAGACCACCTCAGGCCACTGGAAGACCTGTCCACTGTCACTTCCTCAGAAGGAACATGAGAAAGAAGCTGGGCCACAGGGAAGGGCTGGATCATGAATCCAGAGACAAGATAAACTCTTGTGTTTATCACCATTAATTTTGTAAATATTTTCATCTGTCAAACTCAGTTTTTCTTTTTTCCTATTATTATTATTTGGCTGTGAGAGATCAAACCCGAGTCTTGTGCACGGCGGGCCACAATCAACTACTGAGCTACACCTTCAGCCTCCCCAGGGTTTTGTTCTGCAGTACTGGAGACTGAACCAAGGGCCCCCCATGCACACTCTGAACTACATCCCCGGCCCTTTTTATTTATTTTTATTTTGAGACAGGGTTTAAGTTGCTCAGGCTAGCCTTGAACCTGTGATCTTCCTGCCTTGAGTTCCTGAATTGCCACCATAGCTGGCTCTTAACTAATAACTGAGTCTAGTATCTGACAGGACTGGGGATGTAGCTCAATGGTAAAGTGCTTGCCTGGCATGAACAAGGCCCTGGGTTTGACCCCCAGCACCACAACCAGTAATAATGCCCGACTGGCCACATCTGGCTGTTATGAGAAGAACATATTGGTGTGAAAAGCATTTTGTCATTTTGGGTACTAGGGAATGATTCCAGGGACTCTTCACCACTAAGTTATATCCCCAGCACGTTTTATTTTGTTGGTACTGGGGATTAAAACTAAGGGTGCTTTATTCCTTAGCTATATCCTTAGCCCTTTTATTTTTTACTTTTTGAGACGATGTCTTGAAGTTACTTAGAGCCTTGCTAAGTTGCTGAAGCTGGCCCCAAACTTCCAATCCTCCTGCCTCTCCATGCCCAGTTCTAGCCAAACAGATCCTGCTCCTGCAGCCCAGGCTTCAGTAAGGGCTAACCTACCTGTGGGTTCTTCTTCTCCTCTTTTTCTAGAGCCTGAAGGAGTTCCTGGTCCAGGCGCTGGGCTCTCTCCACCAGTCTCTGATTCCCTTCAATGCTCTTCACCTTTAGTCCCAGCCCCAGAGACATGAAGCGGGAGAGGTGGCCCTGAAGGCATGAGGAGGACAAAGGCAGCCCCATTCAGTGCCCTATCCACTGTTATCCTCAGTGGTCTGGACACTGGGATTTAAGGCCCCACAGAAAGCTTAAATTCTGCCCTGCCTGGTGCACCATTTCTCAGCACCTGCCTCTCTGGGCCTGAGGTCTGATTACCTGCCTTCTAGATATCCTCATGATTCAAAAAGACAGTGAACCAGGGGTTTGTCTCACCTGGCCTGAGCCCACGTCCACAACCTGGGTGCATCCTGTGAGATCACTCAGCTTCTTTACCAACTGAAAGAGGAGGGAACAAAGGTCTCCTGGCCATTGGCTCTTGACTCCCTGAGCAAACACCAGGGAAGAGTGTTTGGGTATGAGGGTACAGGAGTCAAAGATGGAAATGTAAGGTGGATAGAGGGCGCCATTGAAGATAAAAG